ATATCCTTTGATTTGAAGAGGCGATTACTAACTCCTAGTGCTAGTACTATTACTACCCTTTCCTACATTGTATTTTTCCTCTGTACTTCATATGAGCTGTGTTGTCAAGGATGTGATATTATGAATAAATAAAATGATAATATTTGTGTTTTTGTGTTCCATTTCTATTGCTGTTGATCTATATTTGGTGACAGTTACTAACAAAAACATGGTGTTCAAGCTAGTTTATGGGAAGAATCCAAACTTTAGCTAATGCGTTCTCATAGACTCTTTTCCAACCACAAAGAAAAAGGAAAAAAGGCTCTTTTATATTTAAATAATACAGTATTTATTAACTTTTGATATTTTATTTTTATGTAAAATTCAGTTTTCTATTTTATAAATAAAATTTTGTAGTTTGTCTACAACTTTTTACTATTGGGTTGGCACCTTTAGTTTAAGATTTTTTTTTTTTTAGATCTCATTTGAAAATATGATATTTAGTAATTTTTTAACTTTTTAGTTAAAATATGATATAAAAAAAAAACTAATATGTTTATGATAACTTTTTTATTATGGCCAAATTACAAATACCTCCCTTGAGGTTTAGCTAAATTACAAATACCCCCTTGAGGTTTCAGAAATTACATCCCACCCCCTGAGGTTTGTATTTTCATAACAATTTGTCCCCTGAAGTTTATATTTCATAACAAATTACCTCTTAATTTGTTATGCAAATATAGCATTCAGGAGGAAATTTGTAATTTCTCAAACTTCAGGGGGACATTTGTAATTTAGCCAAACCTCAAGGGGGGTATATGCAATTTGCCCTTTTATTTTTTATGAAGAACATATAAAAAGTAGAGAGAAAATAAATTTTTTATATAATTTGTTAACTTTTTGACATTTTTAATGATTTTTTGATTTTTAATCTAAAATTCAATCATCCCAAACCAGGCCTGAGTTGGGTCTTTCTAGGAGAACTTTTTCTTCGGGGTTCTTTAAGCAAGAGGAGAGGACAGTTGTAATTGATGGAGGAGGAGGAGTGGTTGTGGTTGATAATAGTTGGTGGTTGTTGAAGGATTGGGGGTTAGTTATATTTGTTACTCTAATATTTTTATCAATTTATTCATTTTTATACTTTAAGTCAGTTTGTAATCTCACCCTTTTTACATCTATCATTTACGAAATTGATGAAATTTAAAACTGAATAAAAATAAAATTTTAGTAAAAATATAAAAACTAAAATAATATTTTGATGAGTGTAGAATGCTAATGAGATGGACTAAAAAAAAAAAAAAGAAAGAAGTCATGTTTAACTCACATGACAAATTTCAACAAATTGACATAAGGATTACACATTAAATATTGACTTCAAATAGGGAAATTTTTTTTAAGGTCCCTAATAATAGTAATTTAGAGGATAATGGACACCAAAAAAAAGAGTGATGCATCAGGTCCCTGAACAACATGGCTTGCATTTTTAATTATTTCGTGGACCAAAATACCCTTCACAAAATCAACACAGAGACGAAACTGATTCCGACTCCGACAACTGAGTTCCACTCCAAGCATCCAACCATCTTCACGAACAAGAGAACATCAGAACTAGGGTTTCTATATCATCTTCACCATCGACATTAGAGCTTTGTTATCTGCTGCAAAAATCATTCTCATTCTTTCCTCACAAATTTCTCTAAACTCGTTTTCACTGTTCATTGTCATCTCAGTTCATCTTCGTCACGTCGCATCTTCATCTCAGGGCATATTAACTCGTCATTAGAGTTTCATCCTAACTCTGGTAAGTTTTTCTACAATACAACTAGATTTTCTATGGACACACAGTTAATTGCATTTTATATTAACCTTCCATAAATTAGGGTTTCAATTTTGTAATAAAAAGCTACATGAATTTGAAAAAAGTTATTTCTGTGTGTTTTGAACTTATTCTTGAACATGTTTTTGTGATTTCATCTGTAAATTTTTCTAGCATTTGAATTTCTCTGATTTTTGCTTGATGTATGTTTCTTCTTTCAATTTTCTCTGACATGTTTATTTTGAAAAAAGCTATTTCTCTGTATTTTCATCTTATTCTTGAACATGTTTCTGTGATTTTATCTATAAATTTATGTGCTCTGTAAATTTCTCTGTAACATGTATTTTTAATTGGAATGTCTATCTTTCTCTGAAACGTCTATTACTCTCTTGTCTCTGTCTAAGTTTTTCTGGTATTTATAATTTGCTCTGACCACATCACTTTCCTCCCTTGTGTGTCTATATCATGTTTAATTTTCTTTGGTTGTGTATGTAAATTTCTCTGGCATTTTAATATTATGGACTGGAATGTATGTTTCTTCTTTGGATTTTCTCTGGCATGTTTGTTTTGAAAAAAAGTTATTTCTTTGTGTTTTGATCTTATTCTTGAACATGTTTCTGTGATTTTGTCTATAAATTTCTCTACTTTGTAAATTTCGCTGGAATATGTATTTTTCTCTAGAATGTCTATTACTCTCTTGCCTGTCTACGTTTCTCTGGCATTTATAAATTTCTCTGGCCACATCACTTTTCTCCCTTCTATGTCTCTATCATGTTTAATTTTCTCTGGTTGTGTATATAAATTTCTTTGGCATTTTAATATTATGGACTTGAAATTTTCTCAAGAATGTGTAATTTTCTCTGGAATGTGTAATTTTCTCTAGTATGTTTATTTTGTTCAATTCTTGGTTTCAATGTGGTATAATTTTCAGTGGCATGTTTAAATTACTTTGTTTATTTAATTTTACTAATTGTGGAATGTAAATTTTCTTTGACTTGCCATGTTTACTTTTCTCTGTCATTCATTTTCTGTGCTTGCTAGATATATGTTTCTTTTTTCAATTTTCTCTGGCTATATTTTACTTCTATATGTAATTTTAACAATTATTGAAAATTTCTCTACCATGTTTATGATGCTTTGTTGATTTTCTCTGGCAATGGAAATTTTCTATGGCTAGATGTATTCCACAGGAAAACAATTAGTACTCTAACATTTAATTTTTAGTGTCTGATTTTGTCTAACATTTATAATTTTCCCTGGCCACCTTAGTTTTCTCCCTTATGTGTAATTTTCTCTGATATGTCTAATTTTCTCTGGCATGTTCAATTTTCTCTGGGATTTAATGTTGACATCTTTATGTTTTCATCATTGTCTAGAAATGGCAAAACGTAAAAGTAGCAAAACACTGGAAACACCAAGCAAGAAATAGAAACTCTCTCAGTCTTCGTATGATCTAAGATCAAAAACCACCAGCAAAACACCGGAAACACCAAGCAAGAAAAAGAAACTCTCTCAGTCTTCTTATGATCTAAGATCAAAAACTAGCAAAAAAACACTACAAACTCCTTGCCAAAACACACAAGCCCAAGGTGATGAAGCAACTAGCATCAAGATGCGTACCCCAACTTAAAAAAACTCAAGCTCAAGGGGGGAAAAACCTGTTAAACTCCAAAGAAAGAGAGCTCACTACAACATTCAATACCGATCTAACCTCTCATCTGTTGTCTCCTTTTTTCAAACACTTAAATTCAATTCAAACCAACTTGTAGAGCCTCAAAAGACCCCATTCTGGTATTTGATCCAAACTCTAACCACTAAAAGGATGGATCCAAGGAAATCTAGGAAATCTAATGATGATGTAGTTGTAAAATCCAATGTTACAATGAAAAAACAAAAGCATTCACAGTTGGTAAAAAGAACTTGACCTTTACAACTAATGACATGACCTTGATTTTTGATTTGCAATGAGGTAAAGGAGCCATGTCATTAAGATACTCTAAAAAGCCAAAATCTGCATTCCTAAGGAGAAGATTCCCAAAGGACACAAGGCTCACTGGTCCTATTCTTAAAAATGCCTTGGTCAAAGCAATGAAAGGCAAGCAACCAACCAACTTCAAAGATGTAGCAATCATTATTACATTGTACTTGAGTCTCACCCTCTTTTTTACAACAAGTAGGAATTCAATAGGGTGGGTTTTTATAAAGTATGTGGAACCTCTTGAATTAATGAAACAGTATGATTGGCCTGAAGCAATCACATCAACATTGATTGATTCTATCATAGCATTGCACAAAACTCCAGAAAAAGTTATGGGATGTGTCATTGCATTGCTGGTAAGTATAATATCCATTCAAATTTGCAGTTATCATACTTACAAATTTGTATGTTTAGAAAAATTTAATTACTTTAATTTTCATCACAGTATTGGCTATGTGAACATGCAAATATCATTTACTCGAAAGACAGTAACACAACTGACTTCCCAAGATGTGCCAAGTGGAACCTGCAAAGCTTGACGAAACAGCTGCATAAGACACCAGTCTACTCTCTTACACGTCGGCAGGTTAGATTTCTATCGCCACTGAAATCTCAGTGAAATTTCAAAATTTCTTTGACCACTGGTTTGTTTCCCTCCTTGTTCCTTGATTGATTGAGATCAATTTTCTCTGAACTATCAATTTATGTTTCTTCTTTGGTTACCACTAGTTTATTTCTACCATTGTAATCAATTTTCTCTGCAATCCAAATTTCTCCGATCACAATTTTATCACATTAACTTATATGCCCTGATTGATTTTCTCTAATATGTGAATTATGTTGGTTGTTTCATAATTTTCTCTGGCCCATAAAATTGTTTCTCCTTGTGTGCAATTTTCTCTGGCCCATAACTTATGTGCCTTGCATCTTTGATTAACACTATTTATTTCTACCCTTCTAATGGATTTTCTCTGGAATCCAAACTTCTCTGACGCAATTATAGTAAAACATTAACTTATAAGCCTTGATTGATTTTCTCTAATATCTAAATTATGTTCCTTGTCTGTAATTTTCTCTGCCTCATAAAATTAACTCATTGTCTGTAATTTTCTCTGGCCCATACAATTTTCTCTGAAGTTTGTTTCCCATTAGTATCATTTAGATGAATTTTATTTTCCTTATTTGAATTTTGTAACATTTCTCTAATAAAAGAGCCTCCTGTTACAGATAGATAACAAGGAGCTAGTTCAAAACCCATTAGAGGAGTTCTCTCTTGGTAAAAAGAAGAAAAAAGAATCAAAACAGGCAATTGTCAAATTCAATGAGACATTAGAAGATTCATCTGAAGAAGAAGGAAATGAAGAAGCAGAAGGTAACATAAAAGAACACGAAGCCAGCAATGGACAAGAAGATCAAGCAAGCAGTGGAGAAGCAGAAGCCAGAAAAGAAAGTGAAGAAATAGAAGTAGAAGACAAAGAAGAAAATGAACAGAAAGAAGAAGACAGTGAAGAAGAAGATGAAGGCACTCAATCTAAACAGCAAGAAGAAAACAATGAGAAAAGTGATGAAGAAGAACATAATGAGCCAATGGACCAACATCATGATAGCATTTGTGGCTCAACAATGCATCAACCTCAAGAATCTGAGGAAGCAAAGGATACCCAAATTGCTGATCTACATCAAAGACTGAAGGCACTTTCTAAATCTAAAATAGAAGAAGAGAGAAACTTGAATGAATTACTTGCAGAAAAGGATATTGCAATAAGAACCTTGACATCACTTAACTCAGAACTTCAAGAAAGAGACAGCACAATCCAAATGAAACTAAGGATGTTGGAGGTTCAAAAAGAAGATGATACAAAAATAATTCAACAGTTGAGGTATTCAATTTCGGAGCTTGAAACTAAAAATGCTAAATTGCATGAACAAATTCAAGAACTATCCGTCCAACTAGCAACACAACCTTACCGAACACCAACACAAGTTCAACCACAAGGTCAGTGAAAATCTCGAGCCACAAAAAGTTATGTCCTTGTGTCAACATAACTCAGAGAAATTTCTATTTATTATAATTTTCTCTGAAAGTTAAATTTCTCTAAACACATTAGTTTCTACTGCTTATTTCTATTGATTTCTACTGCTTATTTGATTTTCTCTATCTATTTTCTTATTCGATTTGTGGGGCTTGTTTGATTTTCACTTTGTATAGTTGGAATGCAAGTGGAACAACAACCAACAACCCAACAAGAACAAATGGCACACAAAGAACAACCAAAATAAAAGACAAAAGTCTATGGTAATTGGAAAATATTAAATCAAATAAATTTACATATTGAAATATCATCTGTTACTTCAGAGAAATTTCACTTTTACTGACATTTTCACTGTCTACAGTCAAAAAAGATCCTACATCAATGATAAAAAATTTAAAGGCAAAAGAAAGGAAAGAAAAGCAGCACAATCCAGAATTTAATATCCCAAAGTTGCGAAAGTGACTAGAGGTTCGAAGCAAGCTGCAAAGCAAACCGAGCAAACCACGAAAGACAAAGAAGTACTTGATTCTGATGCGTACGTCTTGCCTCAACCAACAAGCATAAGAAAATCTTGGGTTTTTCTACAAACTCTACTGGTTTCAAGATTGATAAAAGATCATGTAAAAGACATATTGCAGCACATATCAAATGTGTCTGGACTTGAGTAAGTACAACAAATAAAATAGAAGATAACAAACAACAATTTACTAACTTATATTGCATTAACAACTATTAAATCCATTCTTTGTCATCTTGTAGGGCTTTAATCTGGACAAGTGAGTTGAATCTCATTACCTTCGAAAACATTGGAAACCTAATAAAGCAAAAAGAAATTGCCAACAATGTAAGTCTTTCATCAAAATTTCTCTGCAATGTTCCATAAGCCTTTATAAACCAATATTACAATTATAAATGATATTTTCCAGGTCATTGATGGTTATGGAGAGATCCTTTTTGCTGACCAAAAGAGAGAAAGACAACGACCAACTTTATTTTTTTTCACATCCATGAGCTTAATATGTTACTACTCTTTTATTTTATTTTATTTTCTATGGAATTTACTTACTACTTTCTCTTGTTAAGATACTTTTTGAAGCCAGTTGTGTCACTAATCTAATTTTCTCTGGCTAGTTGTGTGCATTTAAAATTTATCTGTGTGTATATTTCTTAAATTCCTGTCATTTCAACTTTCCCATAACATAACCATTTTTTGATTTTCTCTGACCACAGAATTTCATCAAGATGTCGGAAAATCAAACTTTCTGAGTCTCATTATTTGACAAGCATATTGAAACAGTATGGAGGAACTACAGATTCCTCTATTTCCCAATAAATACTGGGGGTAATGAGGAGTCAACACATGGAAATCACTGGACCTTACTTGTCTTAGACAAAAAAGACAATTTATGGAGGTTCTACAACTCACTAAGGCCAATGAGGGATGATGCAGAAGACAAATATGTCAAAGATGCAAAACAATTGGTAACGAGTGCAAATTTCTCTGATCCATCATAATGTTTATGTGATGATAATTTTCATAGAATCCCATTGATTTGTCTGTAAATTTCTCTGTTATTTAAAAATTATCTTTTTGTAGCAAGATTATGTGGAGAATTTTTTGAAAGCTTGCCTTGAAAGAGAGGCACAATCACAACCCTCTTTCAAATTGATAAACTCACAAAACAAAAATTACGACTTTGAGTATGTCAACAATGCTCCACAACAAGACAGTGATTCGTAAGTTTCATACAACATCTATAAATAAGATAATCTGACAGTGATTCGTAAGTTTCATTCATAAGTTTCTTAAAACTAAATATACCTATAATTTGTAGGCAGTTTGGATTGTAGCCTGTTTGTATGCTATATAATGAGACAATATAGCAAGCATGAACCTATCAGCTCTAAATTGTCCACACAAGACATAAGGTTGATGAGGGCAGAAATCATAGAAAGATTTATAACCGAAGTTGGCCGGTCATGGACAGAACCAGTTGCAATACCACCAGAAGAAGAACCAAAAGTATAAGAGTCAAAGCACACTAGTGAAAGGAAGACAATGTACATAATGTAATTAGGATTAACCATCCAATTTGTTTTTTCATACATTGCAGGAATGATGATGTTTGACATATATGTATATATCTTTTTTTGACTAATTTAAATTTCATAGCTATCAATGGTTAAATATATTTTTTTTTATTGTGATTGTCAACACAATCCACACAGAGAAAATTGTTTGCAGAAATTTCTCTGGTATGATGTTACTAGAAATTAACAGAGAAATTTTACTCGTATTTTGCCAATAGCAGAAATTTCTCTCGTATGATGCCTATATGATCATGTAATCTATAATGTTATGTGTTGGTACAAAGCAATCATCAAATTGAGAAAACACAAAGTGCACAGTAGTTTTCTCTGCTAGTGGCAAATTTCACTGGATGAATTCGAAGCTTCAAAACACAATGCACAGAAAATTTTCTCTAGTAGTGGCAAATTTGTGTGGATGAAATTGACTGGTATTATAAAGACAATGCCCATAGTATGTTTCCACAAACACAATGCACATTGTAATTTTCAATGCTTTTGGCAAAATTCTCTGGATGAATTGGACCTCACAAACACAATGCTCATTTCAATAAACACAATGCCCAAAGCAAATTTCTCTTCTATTGGCAAATTTCTATATATGAATTTGACTGGTATGAAGTTACTAGAAATTCACAGAGAAATTTAACTTGTATCGTCCCAAAGAGGGTGCCTATATGATCATGAAATCTATAATGCACTGTCTTGGTACAAAACAATCATCAAATTCAAAAAACACAATGCACACAGTAAATTTCTCTGCTATTGGCAAATTTCTCTAGATGAATTTGAAGCTTCAAAACACAATGCACAGAGAATTTTCTCTGCTATAGGCAAATTTCTCTAGATGAACTTGACTGGTATTACAAACACACTGCCTATAGTATGTATCAACAAACACAATACACACTTTCACTGCTATTGGAAAATTTCTCGGGATGAATTTGATAGGTGTTATTATATACATTGTCCAAAAAATACATTTCACAAAACAAAATACACAAAGTAATCAACAAATGTATTATTGAATCAATAAAATGTATTATACTCAACTATTTAACAAAGGTTCCTTGCATGTCCTCTTATTATGGCGACCAATACTCTCACAACGACTACACTTAATCACCCTTTTAAACTCTCCAGTAGAAGAAATTCTGTTCTTTTTTGGCCTCCCAACTGGTCTCTTACTCAATGAAGGTAAAATCATAGCATCATCAGTACTGCACACAGGTTTTTCAACAGTTAGAACTGGGCCAATCGAAAACGAGTATGCTTGACGATACATATCAGCATGAAAAAATGGTTCAACAAATGAATTCAAATTTTTTCCACTCCTAAAAATTGCAGCAACAACATGTTGACATGGATACCCATTTATTTCCTATTTTCGACATGAACAAGTTCTCAACCTAAGATCAACCATAACCGAAGGAAAACAATGCACTTCAAAGACATTATCAGATGATAAACTCACATTCCATGTCCTCCCATCCACGAAAACCTTCTCCAATACACTATCCATACGAGGACAGAGAACTTTATTCCATTTACTAGAGAGCAGCCTCTTATCAGACCTCATATTCATGATTTGCAACCGTATCATTTCCACCAAATTTGTTATTGGCAAGTGCCGAGCGTCTCGTATCCATGAATTGAATGACTCAGCAACATTTGAATACATCTCACCATAACGTTTCCCCTCAAATATGCATCACTCCAATTTTCATATGGTAAACTTCTCAAGAAAACACTCACAATGTCTTTTCCCTCACTTTTTAATTCATTTAACTTGAAATGAAATGATGCCTTTGTTGGCGCATATGCACATTCTAAAAACTTGGACACAATCGTCTCCCTAACCAAATTTGTGTTTCCACATGGCAACTTATCCCTCAAATCTCTCTTTAGATGTTCAAGACAAAATCCATGAAAGCAATTAGGGAAAAACCTAGCAATTCCTTCCACAATACCACAATGTCGATCTGATATGAAACTTATCACCCTCTCCGATCCCAATACTTTACATAAATGTTCAAGGAACCAACACCAATTGTCTTTATTCTCAGCATCAACAACAGCAAAAGCTATAGGAAAAAAACCTACAAAACAAATAGGAACTAGCATATTACATATACACATGAAGAGAAAAGTAGAACAATAAACAACCACAGAAATTTGACACTGCCAACATCCAGAGAAAATTCACTTAGTGACAAACTCCAGAGAAAATTCAACAGTGACCAACTACAAATAAAATTCACACATTGGCAACATCTAGAGAAAATTCACTTAGTGACAATATCCAGAGAAAATTCACTTAGTAACCAACTATAGATAAAATTC